GAGAGAGAGAGAGAGAGAGAGAGAGAGAGAGAGAGAGAGAGAGAGAGAGAGAGAGAGAGAGAGAGAGAGAGAGAGAGAGAGAGAGAGAGACCTATAAATGTCAGCACACCACCTGATTGCCAACTTCAAGCCACTGGGCTGATCTCAACAACCAGGCCACCCAGTTTTGCAACGTTCAACCCATCGGGCTGCTGTCTACTCCCGGCCATTTTGGGCGTTACGCAGGCCGCCTCACGGACACTGTTCGGCGGGGGTGACCCATGAGACCTCACACAGGCTATCACACAGTATCACAAATGGCTGCACACTGGGTCGCTCTGAAAAGCACCCGCTGTTAACAATGCATTATATACAAAACATCAATTCTTAATGTATAATTCATCCAGTACTATAATAACAAGTACATTATACTATGATCATAGCCAAAACATTGATCCTTAATGCATAATCAATAAAAGACTATTAAAAGTACAATAGTAAAAAGTAGTACTGACAATACTGTGTATAAACAATGATGTACATGTACTACATATTTGAAAGGTATATTTCTTATATCTTAAGGGACCCTTTTCTCCTTCTACGTTATCAGGGAAAACAAGTTCAGTACATGATACAGGAAGCAGCGAGAAGGGAACGACTCTGTCCACTCCATGTGTTCGGCATACTCTTTGATTCTATCTCAGGAGCATGTTATATAATTACCGGGCAATAAACAGGCAGCTGTAGAGACACCGCGTTTGAAGCAGAGAGGGAGAAAGGCATCGAGACAGCAGGGAGAGGAAGAAACTGACATTTTATGTTTCAGGTTCACAAGGTCTGCCAGTCAGGCTGGTGGCAGCTTACCAAGACCGCGACAACTTTGGGCACCTCATAGATCTTTTCAACCATGTGCGGATACCGGCAAAGATTACTTAGAATTCCTAGAGCATGTTTCACTTGCTGCAGCCGCGGAGCAGATCGATTGCAAGACTGAACGAACTTGAGTAGAATTGAGATCGATCTGGTACTCAGGATCATCTGCTCACAACATTCACGGGAATGCCTTGTTGTCATATCTGTAGATCAGCAATTGGCAACATTCCAACATCACAGTCGCACATTGAGTGAGCACATCAGAAAGTAGCTTACGTTCATCTTGCCTCCAGAATTCTGTTTGTCACGTAGACAGAACTACCAGGTGAACTGTGGATAGAAAGGGAGAAAACGCTGAAAAGGACAAAGAAACGGGAATTGTGATGTGGAGACAAGCTTTTCTACAAAATACTACTATGCAATCAGAGCCATCGTGAGTCCTTGACCAAGTAAAGATCAAACCCTGCACTTGCACGATGCTCATACAATGTGGCTGAGGAATATACATTCGAGAGTGGGAGGAGAGGGAGTTCAATCACATATGCAACTGTCCAGTATATCATAGGATTTTCAGTTAATTGCTGGGAAAAAATCCTAATGTGAATATGCTCTCACATGTTTATCCGCTTAAGCTATATCCAGCTCAATAAGAGCAAGCGGTTTCTATAAATGCCAAAGAGGCTCCTGCTCATTTATGAGGTTCATTTCAGTTGACATTAGCCGCTCAAGCTCTTTCATCTATAGCTTGGATGTCTCGATCTCAAACAAAGGGAGCAAGGAGTTACCTAATGTCTCACATGCCCTAGTAATAGGAGGTAAACTCTCACTTGACAACAGCACCTCGAGTGCTTGTCTTGTAAGGTTCCTGATGCGCATGGGCTCCTGCACTTGGCCTGCCAGAATCATCAACCTCATCCTGATGTTCTGGATCTTCTTCCCATTCCTAAGGCGGACGAGATGACCCCTGAAATGTGCCTGCAACAACCAGCACGAGATTTACAGGATTGGCAGGGAGCAATGGTTAATCCTTCCGGAAGGGGAAGCAATTGATGCAATAGGCTCTAAATAGGTACTGTATTCTAAATGCGAAGATGGACATGACAGTCAATCCTTCTAAAAGAAGCAATCAATGGCGTCGGGATAGGTCGGAAGGTCTTAAGGGAACATGGGATGAAGGACAGGGTGGAGCAGTGGTAAGTCATCCCGAGTGGAAAGCAATCAATGCCGCTAACTTGGGGTCTCCCGGCCATAACGTAATAAGCGTTGAGTGGGTACTCTTGATGTACAGGATGTTGGAGCCGGTTTCCAGCTTTGTCAATAAAAAAAGGAGTAAAAAAAAAAAAAAAAAAACCTGGCAAATCTGGGGTCTAGCTCAATCGGTACACCCATCAACTGTTAAATTACAGACCTGAGTTCAAATCACAATGGATCAGATGCATGACATAACTCTGGATTTACATGAGGATGCTCAGTTTAGGGATAGTGTCTCAAGGTCGTCGCCCTTCAAAAACGTTGTGGCCAATTTTATGGCTGTTGTGTGGAGCTACTTACAGCGAAAACTTCAGGAAGGAACAGAAGTGCGAAAGTGAAGCACCAGTAAGCAACGTGCGCCGGGGCACTGCCAGGAATGTTCGATGATCTTTGAGATCTTTGTGCATGTCCGTGAGCATGGATGCTTCTTCATCTGCAAGTCTTACTTCAAGACCTGCAATCTGGATTTCCAGACAGTCCGATGAACCATTTTTTGATGAGACTATTGCTTAGAAAAGACAGAACGCAGAGCACACCATCTGAGCTGGGCACAAATGCATGGGTCCTGGGGACCCTTTCACGCAAGTGTGTACATGTCATGCATCATCCTCACACACCACGATCAATAGTCTCAAGTCATAGACAAAGGTGGATGAGAAGAGGACCGAGTTTCACAGCTTATATTATCAGAAATATGAATTTACAAAGTGTTTCAAAGTTCCCCTGAGTCCAGCGCTCATCAGCGCAACACCAATCTCTTGTCAACTCATCAATATGACTTCCAGTAATCAGCGCTACTCCTGCAGATAGTCTCCAAGTCATCAATGTGGTCACTACTCATCAGCGCCACCTCTGCAGGTCACATCCAACTCAGGTAAGTATCTTCCATAGCCAAACCTTGAAAGAACGCTCCCAGCCTCAGTCCCTTCCTCCTACGATGCATGCACACTCTTCACTCACGAGGATCTACTCTGTATACTACTCATAGCTACATGCTAACCCACTACTACTAATGCTAACTCGCTGGGCAGCTATGGCTGCATCACTTCCAGCGTACAGGCTTCTTCCTCCCTCCTTCAGCGCATCTTCTACCTCCAGCGCTGCTCCTCCTGACTCAGCACACAAGTGCACCAGCACTTCCACGCATAGCAGCCAGTGGAGATCTGGTGAGGAATGAGGCTGGCAGCTTCCTTTATAGTGCTGGCCACTCCTCGCTGGGTCTGCATTGGCTCAATTCAGCCTCTCCCTTCGTCCCAGACCCTGCATTGCATGTGTCCCAGTATAGTCCCAATGAGGTTCAACTGCTGCTGAGGCACTTTGGCCTGGATTTGGACTTGAAAGTCTGGATCTGGACTGACCCCTTGACTTAGACCAGAACTGGGACTGTGCCTGCTAACTCGCTGGGCAGCTATGGCTGCATCACTTCCAGCGTACAGGCTTCTTCCTCCCTCCTTCAGCGCATTTTCTACCTCCAGCGCTGCTCCTCCTGACTCAGCGCACAAGTGCACCAGCACTTCCACGCATAGCAGCGAGTGGAGATCTGGCGAGGAATGAGGCTGGCAGCTTCCTTTATAGTGCTGGCCACTCCTCGCTGGGTCTGCATTGGCTCAATTCAGCCTCTCCCTTCGTCCCAGACCCTGCATTGCATGTGTCCCAATGAGGTTCAACTGCTGCTACTTTGGCCTGGATTTTGGACTTGAAAGTCTGGATCTGGACTGACCCCTTGACTTAGACCAGAACTGGGACTGTGCCTACTGACTTTACTTTCGGACAGGCACAACTCTAAACGAACAGACACATTTACCACTTGAATAGACACTTTCCTTTGCACGAACAGGTACACTGCCTGCACGTACAGACACACTCTTACCCGAACAGACATGACATACACATCTCCTGGTGAACAGGTAAGTCTTTTGACAATGCACTTTGACTTAGATTTAGATGTACCTGTTGATAGAGAACGTGACCTTTGACCTGTCTTCACGTTTCTGAGCCCTGGCGAGATACCTTTTCACAATGCTTTACTTTTACAAGGCTCGAGCTGCTTTACTTTTGCAAGGCCTGAGGCCTATATCGGGTAAAGGCCCTTTTACAAATAAGAAAAACAATAACTTCAGAAAAAAACTGAATGCGACAACTGGATGCCAACATATTGCCGTCATCCTTCGGAAGTAATTGAGACCATTGATAGGTGGTGAGGACAAACTCAAAACAGCCACTAACTGCAAACACCGAGGTGAACAAAGTTTGGGAGGGGTCTCCCAGGCTGAAGATGGGGGGCAGTGTGGGTGTGGATGATTGTACAATGGCTCGCTGATGGAACAGGAACTGCACAACAGTGCCCAGAGTAAAGGGAGTAATAACCAGCGCTGTATTCAGGAAGGAAAAGATCAGAATGCAATTGGGTTAAGGACACTAATGTATGACCAAGGCAGTAATCTCCTACCTGAAGATAAACTGTGGCATCCCTCATCCGCAAGAACTGTTTTCGTACAATTTCAGCAGCTTGTCTCCGCTTCTTGGCTTCGTCCCTATCCCCCCATTTCCCAACTGTTTTTCTCCACCATCTTTGCAGAATAACAGCGGCCTTCCGTGCTCTCTGAAACCCCCTCCTTGCTCGCCAGACAGGCACCCACTTTTCAATAATCCTTAATCCCTGATCCATCCTTCTCCTTCTCCACCATCTCTGAAGTAGAGTAGCAGCTGCATTCATCTGCTGTGTTATTTCCCCACCCGTTTCCATGTGTGGACCTTGTGGACGATGCGCTCCTCTGGGATGTGTTATCTCCACCAAACAAGGAAGTTCAACCTGCTTCTCCCCCTTCCCCTCTTGGAGTTCACACTTAGATACGACTGGCAAGGCATCATCCGATTTGCCCTCACCCTCTGACTGAAAACTCCAAGCCTCAGTTTGCACTGTTTCGTGAAACACAACCTTTTGAGAGATCCTTTCACTTTCTGCCGCTGAAATCCATTCGACTCCCTTGTCACCTACAACACTGTCAGAGTGACATCTCTGGCATCCATCTCGAGAATCCATGCTCATCATCGATTTCATGAGATGGGATTGGATGGTATGGGCCCGACATGCCACTTGTGAAATCACAGCCGCTGATCTTTTCATCTGCTGGTGATAGCTTGGCCGTCTTGCCTCACTCCTTGATGTCGTGGCTTGAATCAGTGCAATCTTCTTGCTGAGCAATATGGCCTTCCTTGACGCCGCACGCCACTGCTGAATCGTCCGTGCAAGCGAAACACCGGATGCCTCCCCTTCAATGTGGTTTCTCTTCCTGCTCCATCCACTCATAATAGCGCTGAGGATCCGAGTGCTTCTCTGTAGTGCCAACTGGTCTTTCCTTCTCATGGAACATGATCTACGTTTAGGGCACATTGTCGTTTTTGTAGTGCTTTTCTTCCTGGCAACCAACTTCTTCATCTCCTTCCTTTCCCTGCCCAAAGTTTGTGCAACAACTCTGACCGTCTTTAACAGCCTGGACGCCCTTCTCATACAATTTTTGTCCGGGGTTGTTTGCAGTGTTTCTCTGACAGAAACACTGGCATCCTCTGTCCTTTCCTCAGTGCTGAACCTTGGCAGCTCACTGTTGCTCTGCTCTACAACCTTTGCTTTTGTCAGATGACATCCCTGAGACCCTTCCGCTGCCAGCAGGCCATTCCTTCCCCTCGTTTGCACCTCCCGCTCGTTCTCGGTGCTAGTCAAAACCTCTGGCATAAACATCCCTTTGCTTCTCATCACCGCAGACTCAGAATCTCCCACTCCTCCCATCCAATATCTCTGTAGCATAACAGATACAACTCTCTCAACCTGTGAATCCCTCACCTCAACTCGTCTTTCTAGGGCCTGATTTCCCGTTGCCCTTTTCTCCTGCACCTCCTCACATCCTGCTTGCACTGTGCTCCCAACAAATCCTGATTGAGCCTTGCAACCTGATTGCAGTGTTTTCACAGCCTTCTTCAGTGAAACCATCTGCAACCACATCCCTCTCTGCTCTCTTCTAAATCCTGGAGTACTGAATGTACTCCGGTTTTGTCCTTTTCTCCTCCTGCTATGCCATCCACTCCTTGGAACACATTGTGACGGAATTCCACACTGTGATGAGCCCAGAGGTTGGGCTCCATCTGCAGATTGCACCACATCTTGCTTGTTGCGCTTGTGCCTTCGTCTCTCAATGTGCCCTCTCACCCATGCCTGTACAAGAATCACAGCAGTTTTCAGAGCCATGTATCTCTTCCTCTCCCTCCAGCCCCTCCATGATGCTTGCAATAATGTCACAGCTTTCATTTCCTCTTCCAACCTCAACCTTTGACACCTGGCTTGCGATGAAATCACAACTTTCTCTGCAGCATGTTTCCTGAGCTCATATTCTGTCCTCTCTCTGCGTCCTCGTACCCGTGCCTGTATAAGTGTCACAGCTGTTTTCAAAGACAGATATCTCTTCCTCTCTCTACAGCCTCTCCATACTGCTTGAAGCACTGTCACTGCTTTCAACGTCTGACGATATCTGTTCTGTTGCCTGACGCCCTTCCAGGAAGCTTGCAACAGCACTGCTGCCCTCCTTATTTGGCTGTATTGGACCCTAGCCATATGGCCTCTGGCTGCAGATTGGACCAGAATAATGTGTCCCATGAGATTGAGATACTCTTTCCTCTCCCGATATCCCCTCCAAGCAGATTGCAAGATGATTGCTGACTGCTTTAGCCTTGCAAATCTTTGACAACATTGCCACCCTCTAACCATTGACTGAATACACAAAGCTGCTTGCCTCTCTTGTCTCAGGTTCTTCTGCATGGTGCATCTTCTCCAGGCAGCTTGGATGAGAATCGTGGCCTTCCTCATGGCATTGTAATTCCTCTTCTCTCTATGGCCCCTCCAGAGAGCTTGAACCGTAGTGATCATCTGCAAACTCCTCTGGTACTGGCAGTGCACAATGTGGCCACGAGCAAATCTCTGTATGATTAACACTGCCTCCTTATCATTGCGGTACCTTTTCCTCTCCCAGTACCCCCTCCAAGCAGATTGCACGATAACTGCTGACTCCTTGTCTTTTGCAAACCTCAGACCACATTGCCACCGCCTAACCATTGATTGAATAAGCACAGCTGCTTGCCTCTCATGTCTCAGCTGGTGCTGTGCCCTGCACCTCCTCCAGCCAGCTTGAATGAGAATCGCAGCCTTTCTTATGGCATCGTATCTCCTCCTCTCTCTGTGGGCCCTCCAAAGAGCTTGAACCTTAGGAGTCATCCGCACGGTCGACTCATATCGACGGTGCATTATTCCACCACGAACAAATTTTTGTACAAGCAAGGCTGCCTTTTGAAGTCGTTGAAACCTGCACCTTGCTATGAACCCCCTCGCCAATGACTGAATCCGAATCACCCTGTTGACAAAGCATTCCCAACCTCGACCATCAGAGCATTTATGCTGAAAGGACCTGCGATATGCAACCTGTATGAGAACAGCAGCGGATGACCACTTCCTCACCATGTTTCTCACCAACCACCCTCTGGCGACTGCTTGAATAGGAACAGCTGCGGATGACCACTTTCTCACCATCCTTCTCACCAACCACCCTCTGGCGAC